TGACAGAGGATTAGTGAATCGTTATCGCCGCTGCCTGCTCCACACCAAACACCTGCACAAAAAGATGTTAGAAGTGTGTCATACTTGGCTATGTCTCATTTGCTTCTGGAATTCCAGCCACTCTCTGGTTGTCATTCATCATACCACGATTGTGTGTGTATGTGTGCGCGCGCGCGTGTTTGTGTGTGTGTGTGTGTTCGCGCGCGCATGCGTAAAAGCATACTCTATGCATGTCATTGCAGAAATGAACGTTAGAGAACACACCAGATTACGGAGCGTAGTATAACAACGAACACACTGAGCGATAGATTGGAAGCAGGCGCCCGGTAGAGCCTGTGGGAGGAAGGTTAATGTCAGTTACACAGTGTAAACAGGTGTAATCCAGGGAAGAGATTCTAGCTTGTAACCTCTAATGTAAGCTACCATCATCGTCATATAGCAAGCCCTTTACAGGATCTCTCTCTCTCTCTCTCTCTCTCTCTCTCTCTCTCTCTCTCTGTCACTCTCTCTATATATATATTTGTCTGTCTCTCTCTATCTATCTATCTGTCTCTGTCTCTCTCTATATCTGTCTGTTTTTCTCTCTGTCTCTGTCTCTCTCTGTCTCTGTGTCTCTCTCTGTCTTTCTCTGTCTCTCTCTCTCCCTCTCTCTCTCCCTCTCTCTCTCCTCTCTCTCTCTCTCTCTCTCTCTCTCTCTCTCTCTGTCGTCACGGCGGGATGGAAAACCACTGGGTCCTGTCTAGACCCGCCCCAGCTATCAGTTGGATCCGGCCTTGATCCTTGCCAACAGTGCTATGACGTGCAGATTCACTAAGAGGATGTTATTGATACCCGTGTCCTCCACCATGGTACTGGTCGTCGTCTTCTTCTTCCTCTAGGAACCGTGCATTCCAAACCATTATGACCAATATAATATAACCGACGTATTTCGGGTTTCCAGAAACGAAACCGTTTATCAGGCATACTTAACCATCCTCTATATACACATTGTGAATACCGTCAACAAAAGCCCTTCTGGTGGCCTATGATACTCTCATAATCTTCTCGTAGCATTTCAATTGAGAATCCCAAGCTACCATCAACATGGCGCGAAAACTGATATCGGAATGCGAACGGCCATTAAAAACATCACCATGCAAGAGTTAATGTGATAGCTTTCTATCCAGAAATGGCAACCAACAACAGTGTATTCTGATTTGTTTTGTTTTTAATGCAAGGCGGGTAGTTGATAATTTGTAAGCCTGGGATTTGTCTCCCTCTCGTGGGACATTAACCGTATTTACCATTGAAAGCCGATTGGTCTTTAAATTATGACTGGCATCATATGCCCATGGCGTCACCAACTTGAACAGGGTCCTTTTGGTTTCTTTTCTATCATTGAAAACAATCAATCATGCCAAGTTTATTCTCTCTATACTGTGTGTGTGTTTCCCCAAACATATTAACCCCACACTTGACATTCTCACACATTCTTAGCCACCATATGGGTTAACATTGCCAGATAGGCTATTTAGAATAGTCCGGGTTGAGACCAGAGTTGTCTCCCAAACGGAAGGTTGTTATGATGAGTTTCTACATATTATAGTTCCATCGTTACAGTTCTCAGAAAGAACACATTTGTTTTGGCTTCAGAGTTTACATTATGTCACCTGCCTGCTCACCGAGTCCGGCCCGGCGTAGATGCGCTAAGGGTACAAGATATCTCCGTCATCCAAGCTTAGAAGCAAAAATTCGTATCCATTTTTATGAAACATCTGGTAAACGCATGGGAGAGTACTGACACGGGATACACTGTTGTTGGCCAAGATTTAATTGCATTAGTTTATATCGTGTAGTCATCATATAGGCATTCTTTTTAAAAACGCCATTCTTTGCACATCCAATTATCAAAGTACTTTGTATGTCTCTGGTGGTCACTGGAGAAGTTTAAATGTATGTAACATTTAACTAAAGTCAAACCAAGACAGTCAGACACAAAACTGCCTATGGCGGTATCTATAAAGATCATAGCTAGGTCAGTATGGGTACATATCACTGTCTGTGGCAAAAGGGGTTTAGTCTGGCTTGCAAGTGCTGACAGTACTGTCTGGGATGTGCATAACAAACGCGTTGTCCCCAACAGTCATATGGTATAAGAGAGACACTTCATGTGTACGCCACTTGTATACTACAAGCCCATATCTGTTATGTTAGAATCTAGGTGTATTAGCCATCTCTCACATATTTTGGCAGCACTGACAGATCCTGCCACTGCAGCGTTTTCACAGCTCTCTTTCTATCTAGCTTTATACACGTGTAAGAAACTGTTCACTCACCTAGTAAACATAAAAAGTCTCTAACCGGAGGTTTCTAGCATATCACACACACTGTAACGGCTCTGTTCTTACTTATAATGCATCTTTAGCTTATGGTAACGTTCACCTATACCCAGCTGACATGGTCGAATCGATAGCAATTCTCAATTTAGTATCAGTCACTTTTCCGTATTGAAGGAATCTGTATCATTCTCTATAATTGTCGTTGATCTTCCACTCTCAGATGCGAGGAGATATAGCATTCAAGTCATGTAGACCTAACCACTTTACTCGTTAGTTATTGATTGGCGATTTGATGAAGCCATCTTCCATGTAAATAGCGCGTTTATCATTCTATGGCTCGTACATAATTAACACAATACGCAAGCACAATTACACTGTTTGATTTCCCTTATGAACACGTAACTTCCCCTTCAGTGGGATCAGAAACTCCAGACATGGAGACCCTTTCATGTAAACGACCACACCGCAAATGCTAACCCTCAGTAGTGTCAACAGTTGCAAGCCAGCCGTTGTTGTATTGAAACCATCTAGGTTATATAAGGATTGCACAATCATGTACACACAGCCTCGCTTGAGGCTACCCTAACAACAACACTCTCCACCATTCAGGCTTGATCCCAGACGATCCCTTGCCTGTTAACGATACATTCGAGTTCCGCTTGCCCGTTGTACAGAGTAAGTATATGGCTTGAGCTGGCACAGTTTCAGCACAGACAACGTTGATTTGTCTCATGATTGTCTCTTTCACAGGAGTCCACTGTTCTCATATTATGCTTATCCTCCACAGGTCATCTTTGTTGACCTGCATTACGTTGACATTTTTTACAGCCGTTCATGTAATATGTTAATACATACAGATTTTCTCACAGGTATCACTTGATGTTGATTGCATTGCTATGGTTTCAGTACCTTACAGCATTATAATGTTATAGTGGTTACCGAGAACCATGAAAACAGCACTCTGGACTGGTGGAAATGTGCTCCGAACAAAGACAACACACATGACACACAAGTGAGAATGAGCCTAATCGTCAGCACAGCTCACCGTGACACGGAACGGCGATGATGACATTTTGAAGATGATAGAATATTAGATTCTGATCGTAATACATGTGGTACCATAGGGGAAGTGTGCAGAGCTGGCTACAGCGCACCACATTTCGTGTCAAGATGAATGTTATTTCCATATATATAAGACATTGTTTACATGTTTTATTTCTACAGGGTAACTCGGGGTCTTCAGCTGTAATAATAAAAACTAAATAAATCAACAAATGCAACACTGTGACGACGCATCATTTAGCAGACGTTATGTATTGTTGTATCCAATGTTTGGCTGAGCACAGTGTTATATTGTGCTGCAGGGAGGCGCGGGACTAGCAGCCTGTGACGATGGCGATTGTGACTATTCCCATACCCTCAGTGGACTGTGGTTATCTTCCAGCTATAGCGGTCCCATCATATAACTGTTTTATAAGCTTGAATGGGGTTTCTGTGATTTGCTGCTGTTTGATTCTCGTCCCTCGGGTGTCAGTCATATGTGGTAAAATCCGCTTTCGGTAACTCGGTCAGTTCCATGCAAAGTTTCATACGTAATAGCTCCCACCTTCCCCCTGCCCCCCCCCCCCCCCCCCACACATGAATCTCAGCCATTGAGCAATGTGTTCACACCCCCCCCCCCTTTTTTTTTTTAAAATACTAAATTACTATATGTCATAGCAGGCTAGAGGTTTGGTTACTCTATTGGCTACTTTAGCTGCATAATCTGCCCTTTGAAAGTTATTCATTTGTGAACAACTTCAGTGGTCATTTTTTTCCTTTGGGCATTTGCTGCGAGAACCTTTGGGATTGAGGGAGAGCATTTCCTGGAGTACGTACCAGGCAAGAACAAGATCACCGTCCCCAGTGTGGAGTGTATTGATCGCCATCTGGAAAGAGGCTTCACTGACATCATAGCTTACAGGATCGGAAGCTGTGGATGATGTTAGGGTCCTTATCTTGATCCAGCCATTAGGACGAGGCATCTAATGTCGGACAACGATACCTGACATCAGTAGCCAAGAAGCAGACCGTCTGATTATTTTTTTTTTTACCTCATTCACGTCAAAGACATGCCACCGATGTACACATATACGAGAAGCCGAAGACAGGCGAGCTAATGATAAAACACGAAACTGTTAGGAATGGACATATAAGGGACATCAATGTATAACCAATGCTTGATACAGAAAGCCATACATTATTGGACACTAAGACATACATATAGAGGACCCAGATTATGATCTCTATACAAAGCAGAGTAAGGGGCCTTTTCATTGCGTCATTGGCGCATGGAGTGTATGATGTAAGACTCATATGTATTATATAGAACATTTGATGGCTGATATGGTTAGCTCCACGCCAACTGCCTTTACTGTCAACTGTCACAACCTCTCAAGGTCACTGCTGTCTGTATCTATCGCTTTTTCTACCTAAGATATGAAGTCCAAAATTAAGAAACTTACTCTGGAGCAGAGGTATGTATATGAGTATTCTAACACATTTGACTAACAGCCACAGTAAACACTATATATATATATATATATATATATATATATATATAGCGTCTAAATTCTCAGGTATCTCCATAAACAAAAGACCGAGTGTCCAAACACTAAACACTGTTATCTCTTGTATTCCCAGGTCCGCCGAAGATAACCCAAGCCCCCAAGAACAGAAAAGTCGCAGAAGATCTTACCGTCAGTTTCATCTGTAAAGCCTCAGGGAATCCAGCACCGGCCTTTCATTGGGAACGTGGTGGTAAGAAAATCAACGACAGACGCCAACGGTTTGAGATCAACGACGCGCCGCACATCACCGTGCTCCGGATTAAGCAGGCCAAAGCTGGTCGAGATGACGGTACTTTTACTTGTGTGGCCAACAACGGTTTGGGCGAGGCCAAAGCTGATGCTTCGCTCAAGATCTACCCGAAAGTTGATGGCGTGGATGGTAAGTTAGCAAGTGTCATGTCTGTCAGGTGTGTTTTGTTTCAAATTAACCAAAGTACTCACAGAAACACACCACCAGTACTACTTGCGCTCGCTTTAATAACGCCACTTATTAACAGCAATGAATCAGAATATCTACCCCGCATATGTCCCTGAAATACTGATGACCGTCTGGTTAAGATCCTTTTCTCAAAACCTTCAACGCTTTGGTACCTCAACTCCCGTAAAAGATAGTACTTATCCAAACTATCATTCAACTTCTCATTTAGCTTCCCGACCTGGAGGAGATATTCACGTTCAGTAATCTGAAAATCCTGCTTCTTTAACTTATTTGTGGCCTAAGGATTAATGAGGAAGGAGATGGGGGGGAGGGGGGGGGGGACAGCGGGAGAAGATTGTTGACAGCCTGTTATGCCATGCAGAATTATCAACAGGCCATTCGACACACTTTGTTGGAAATAACCAAATGAAGAGAAGCGTGATCGCCTACCCGGATTGTTAGGGCACTTGGTAATTAGTCCGTCGTATATAAACATATTGACAAATGTACCGCGTAAGTTTCACTTAGTTATACTGAGGCATTCCCTTGTGAGATGCAATATTTCGTTGTTTGAAAGCTCCACCCTGGCTCTTGCCAAGGGCCACAATATAACCCGGCCGGAAATATGGTCTAATGACTGAACGCGATTTACGGGACCTCTCCAGAGGTAATCCTGAACCACATAGTGGCCCTTGGTGTCATCGGGTGTTTATCGCTTGTGTGATGTTTTGGTGGGGCGAAAGTTACTTACTTACTTACTGTACCGCATCTTCTTCTCCTTCTTCTTTCCTTACTCCTGAAAGGCTTGGCAGCGTCAGGGCAGAAAGCGATCTCTGGAAGAGGCTCATGTGTATAAGGACATAAATCGAAGTCAGACATCCTTTCTTAGTTATATGCTAGCCTGTTGTCTACTCGTGTCTCTTCATCACTTTCCTGCTGGACTCCTAGTTGTATCACCGTCTGTTTCTGTTTTAACTCATGTATCATCATCATTATCATCGTCATCTCTTCTTCTTCTTTTTCTTCTTCTTGCTGTTTCTTCTCCTCATTTTCTTCCTCTTCCTCCTCCACTTTATCCTTCTTCACCTCTTCGCCTTCGTCCTACTTTTTTTTTCTTTTCTGCTTGTTTACCGCTGTAAACTACAGCGCTCAGTTGTTCATCCACTTGTGCACGTGTACGACATGCTTGCAGAGGATTTATTTCCTCTCCCTTCCCTAAAATGGGGCACTGGACCTCACCCAGAGCTATCATATGTTATTCCTGCCTTTGCTGGTATGGATTCTTGGCTCCAGTTGTGGGGAAAAACAAGAATAGACCCACTGCCCTCTAACAAGCATGTCGTAAGTGTCGACTAATTGGCGGCTTCCTTTGAAGTTGGAGTGCATCTGCCTTAAAGACAAGGAACCAACAGGCTGCCTACAAATAAGTCAGATCTGTAAAACGGATGTACATGGGAAAACTCACATTGGACTGCAAGACTATAAGTCCAGAAGTGAATGAATAACCAGAACTTTTGGCTTAAGCTTACAACCGGTCAATGGGAAGAATGCGAAGAGAACATGCATGTGTGAATATATAATGTCGTGATCGATGTAGTTAGCGATTTCGGAAACTGAAAGACCGAACTGATTGTTACAGTCAGACAGCTTTCGGTGATTGATGTTGAGAAATCCCACATGCAAGCTTCCCTAGTCTGCCAGTCTTGGAGCCGATGGTAGCTTAATTGTTCCCTGGTCTCTGGGGAGACACACACACGCAAGAATCACTAGCTAAAGGCAGTGTGTACTCCTTCCAGTACAAACAGCAGCAGGTTGCTCCAGCTGTCTGGGGGAAAGTACGACTAGCGAGGTGATGATAGTCGTACTGATGGATATAGCTTCTTCATCCTCACGTGTGCCTATCGACCCCGGCAAAGATGAACTTACAATCGTAAACTATTACTCCATGCATGTTTCTATACCGGAGTCTGATAATTAACTTTCAGTTGCACACTGAAAAATACATTATTGCGCCTTTAAAAGTATGTTCATGAGTGCGTCTTGTACATTCTGCAAGGTTATGACCTCTTTCGTCAACATTTTGATTCTGGGTCCCATTGGGGACGAAAAATGTGCGGGGGGAGAGGGATATCTCTGGCACCCTCTTGAGTAATTTTTCTGAATCCTCCAGTGTTATGATTTTCAGTACATTGTTATGTCTGTTGTTTGTCAAAGCACCATCTTCACATTCTTGTGTCTCTCAGCTAGGCTGCACCATTGAATGCACACGAAAACCAGCCGCGATGTACACAAATAAATGCTTAGTTCTGACCCTAAATAAGGTTTGAATAATCCATCCGACAGGAAACAAGCATTACCTTTGCTAGTGCTACTACTACTGCTGCTTCTACGATAACTGCTGCTGCTGCTACTACGATTACTGATAAAGCTGCTGATACTACTACTACTACTACTACTACTACTACTACTACTACTACTACTACTACTACTACTACTACTACTACTACTACTACTACTACTGCTACTGCTACTGCTACTGCTACTGCTACTGCTACTGCTACTGCTACTGCTACTACTGCTGCTGCTGCTGCTGCTGCTGCTGCTGCTGCTGCTGCTGCTACTGCTGCTGCTGCTGCTGCTGCTGCTGCTGCTGCTGCTGCTGCTGCTGCTGCTGCTGCTGCTGCTGCTGCTGCTGCTGCTGCTGCTGCTGCTGCTGCTGCTGCTGCTTATTCTTTTACTCTACTTACTCACCATGCTTAACCGACGGACGTTGGCAACCTCCCTATACCATGCGATCTATATATAGTTCAAGCCCTATGTGCCCAGTACGCATGAAGGTGTCAAAAAGAGTCCCCTACTTGTTCATACCATACGATCTCAATGATCATATGTCAGTTGGTAGCTGACAGCCTGCCTCCTTTTGCCATGACACAAGTGGTAGTAGAAGTACCAGTATAAGCTGTAGAAGTTATAGCTAGTTCTAGTAATGGGATGCCGGGTTCGATCCCAGCTACGGGCCATGCACCTTGCGTTGGTTTCTACAGTGGTATCAAGAAAGCCGACTGTCCAGAAAGCAATAGCAAACTACTGGACTCAAATTTGCCTTGAAAAACCACACAGCCAGAGGCTGTTGGGGTTGGTTCTGCAACGTCCTGTTAAGGATACGCAACTAACTAAGTAGTGGTTTTGCTGATAATAGTGGTGTTAGCAGGCATGACGTTGGTAGTAGTTCCCATGGCAGCTGCTGTAGGTGTATTTGTCGGAACAGCGGTGACTACCATTATTATCTCTGCTTCTTTCAACAGCTTGTCTCTATGGCAGAGCCCCACTAACATACACTCCTACCCCCACAGCACCCGCCCCATCAGCTCCTTCTCCCGGACACAGTCTGAGCGTCCGTCTACAGATGTTAATACCAGATATCTCTGGTAGTGTCATCACATATCTTCATAACTGCTCGCACTTGGTCACAATTGTACTATTGTGTGAAATGTGTGGCAACACATTTCTCCATAACGACTCACACTTGACCCTTAGATTGTACTATTGTGTGAAATATGTGGGGAAAATACCGGTTCTGGTTGTCTTCTGGGTAGGCCAGGGGTATAGAACGGACACCTTCTGTAGCTAAGAACAAGCCCATTTATCACGGAGCTCGTGTACATAAGATTACTCACACGCTGTCTTGTTGTGATTGGATTGCCCCGGCTGTGTTTGGTCGTGCAGGAGATTGGAGTGATTGGGACATGCAGACAGCTGGGGTGCGTTAGACATGAACAGAGAAAAAAGACACACACGTACGTAAACACACAAACACACACGCACACACACAACATACAGAGAGAGAGAGAGAGAGAGAGAGAGAGAGAGAGAGAGAGAGAGAGAGCAAACGAACGAACGTTATTTCCAAAGGGTTTCAAATTCGGCACACGGGCCCATCTTACATGTCCCATTAAGAGAGAGAGAGAGAGAGAGAGGGGGGGGGGGGGGTGGTTGGGGGTGTAGAGAGAGAAAGATATATTTTATAAAAGTTAAATTAACCATATCCTTGTGACTTGTGAGTCTTTGAGCCTGGGTAGTAGGCTTGCTGCTGCTGCTGCTGCTGCTGCTGCTGCTGTGTGTGTATTGCATGTGTTTGTGTGTATTTATATATATGTAAACCGTTACGCAAATCGCTGGTGAAGTCGGACAAACGTTTATCTGAATCACGTGTGATATCGCAGTCTTTCTCTGAAGTGGTTAAACGCTTTGCCTGGCTCTAAGAAGGCTGGGGGATTCGTTTCACGGACTGCATTGTTTGGTTCATCAGTGCATTTTTTTTCTTTTTCAAGATCGCTAGAGATCCTGGCTGTCTCATTCATGTTTCGTGCAACTAGCTATTGTCCGGACGAGACCGAGACATGTTGACTCAACCTTGGTGTAATCAAGTCCATTTTGTCTGCTTTAACCCCCCCCCCCACCCCTTTTTTTAAACCTCCACCCTTCCCCCCCCCCCCCGAAACTACAGAGATACTGTCTGCGACAGTATCATCATGTAGCAGGTCCTTTGCAGAACGTCGCTCTCATCACAGTCTGCCTGTAGGAAACTCGGTCTCTTGCCAGTTCTCCCGCCTCATGAACTTTCACACTCAAGGAGTCACTTATATCCTGGGCCCGTCTTCGTCTCAATCGGCCTCTGTCCCTCCTTCCTGGTACCATGCCTTCTGCTATAATTTTTTCCAATCCGTCGTGGCGCTTGATATGACCAAAATATTTCAGCTTTCGAGAAAGGATGCTGTTTATTAGCCAATCTTCCTTGATGTTCAGATCTTTTAAGATGTCAATATTTCTCATTTTCTTTGTCCAAGATATTCTGAGAATCTTTCTATAGCATTTCAGCTGAAAAGCCCCTATTCTCTTTCTTAAGGACTGAGAGATAGTCCACGACTCACATCCGTATGTAGCCACAGGGAAGATGCATG